TAAGACACTGACATCACTCTTCACAAAATCTTTAATAACTTTTTCTTAATCACATCTCAAAGTTACCCTAATTCTTATTGATTTATTGACCACCATAAATAGCTAGCTACGTACTTGAGTCCTTGTTCTCCATTAGCTCTGTGGTTTTTTTGTTTTCCTCAGCTGTTGTTTGCTGTTAACATTCCTTCAGAAGCTCACCCAAAGGAGATACTCTGGTGATCCTCAGCCACCTTCCAGCTCTTTGACAGGGGCTGACTAGTCTCTTCAATATATCTCTTCTTTTCTCCTTCTACCCTCTGTCTTTGTGTAGTCTTCTCTGAAAACACTAATTCAGGTATTATTTCTGTATTGGTAACTAATCACTATCTGAGACTTACCTGCAGATTTGACAACCAAACTATATCTAGTCTATACCTAGAAAGAAGATTCTTTCCATGCAGCCTGTTTCAGAATTGTAGTGTCCATTGTAGTGTCAAAACTATGATCCAGATTCTTATTGCCAAATGTCTTGCTTTTTGCAACATTGTATTCTGTGAATTTAAATCCAATTTAGCCTGCTATCTATCTCTCATTGTGTTCTTGGCCACTAACTTTGATTGTAATGCTTTTTGCCTTGCATACTTCCACTGATTCCTCCTCAAAATTCAAAGCATAAGCTGTTTGTCTTCTCTTTGAAAGCATTTTTGCCTATCATACCTGATGTATTACTGAGAGTTTACCTCCAATCATCATTTGATCCAGGATGCAGGTCTCCATCACTTAAATTCTGGATCATTCATACAAGTGCTTTCATACTGTCTCCTTAGCAGCCCAGCATGCTTACAAATGGCTCTCAGTAAATACCTAAGAAAAGTGTAATTACTTATAATCCTTTAAAGTCATCATAGCTGTGTTTCCTACCAAAGTCCTGAAAGTGCTGCTCCAGATCACCTGCCTGGCTGTTACAATGGTGTCTCACTGCCTGCACATTCCCCTTCACTGTCTCTTGATGTAGATCAAGCAGCCCTGACGAAGCAGCTGTGTCCTGTACTTACATGGTATGATAGGATGCTAGCCCATGGCTAGTGCTGCCAGGTATTGTGTGGGCTGCTTGTGGGTGGTCTAGCACGCCTGGATGTTGAATCTCAACCAGCATCGACTGCAGGCTTCCTCCACAGCACTGGCTCCTACCAGGGCTATGGCCTACCACACTGCATACAGGAAAAACTCAGTTCTCAGGCTTACTCCTGATTGCAAAGTCTAGGAAGTTCACCTGGAGATACTTTCCTGATATTTGCTTTCCAGGTCTGGGAGACCTTCAAAGGGGCCCAGGCTGGAGAAGGGTATAGGCTATGCTTCCTTAAGAAACAGGGAGGTGTCTAAGACCTGTTTCCCCGAAACCCAGAACTACACTTTGAGAGACTTCAGTCACCTTCAGTGTCAGCAGGAAATGAACTTTCAGAAAGTTCATTTATAATTTTATATGTTTCAGACACATCTAGAAATGGAGTTGTATTAGTGGGGCAGTCCTGATGCCACTGTTTGCAAAAAGGACTCCCAGACTCACCTCCAGGTAACTGTTATAGAGTCAAAATCCCATAACTATGGGTTTGTAGACCTGAAACAGTAAGGAGATTAGTTCTTGGAGTCCTCATGAAGGTGTAGTTAACTACACATCTTGGAGAACTCCAGTTGCTGGTAAATATCCTTCACTGAAATAAATTATGGCCTCTGTTGCAACAAGTTTTATTGGAAGATTTCACTGTGTAAGTAGATTGGGGAAAATAAAATCCACAAGCCACATATATAAATGCCTTATTTTTGGCACTCTTTCCCTTAGCATCCACTCCAAATCCACTTGGATACATCTGACAATGAACTACAGTGACCTTGACTGAACCAGTTCTTAGTTCTGTGTTAATTAGTTGACAGGTCACATCTCTGTATTCTTAGATTATGACAACATTGAAAGGTACAGGTGTTCTGCATAGCACAGTGGGATCTCATACACTGTGACCCCATAATGAAAATTATAATAAACAAAGAAAATATTCTTATATCATAAAATCATAGAATGATTTGGGTTAGAAGGGACCTTAAACTTCATCTAGTTCCAACCCCCTGCCATGGGCAGGAACACCTCGCACTAGATCAGGTTGCTCAAAACGCCATCCAACCTGGCCTTGAACACTTTCAGGGAAGTGGAAGCTTACCTGGCAGCTTATCTGGCCAGTTTGTGCCAGTAACTCACCACCCTCTGGGTAAGCAATTACTTCTTAATAACTAATCTAGAAACATTCTCAGTTTGAAGCCATTCCCCCTTGTTCTGTCACTAGAGGCTCTTGTAAAAAGTCTATCTCCATCTTCCTTATAGGCTCCCTTCAGGTACTGGAAGGCTGCAATTGGGTCCCTCCCAAAGCCTTCTCTTCTCTAGGCTGAACAAACCTAATTCTCTCAGCCTTTCTTCATGGGAGAAGATCTCTTCTTCATCCCTCTAATAATCTTGGTGGCCCTCCTCTAGACTCATTCCAACAGGTCAATGTCCTTCCTGTGCTGGGGAACCCAGACCCAGATACAGCACTCCAGGGGGGTCTCAGCAGAGCAGAGGGGCAGAATCACTTTCCTCAGCCTGCTGGCCACAGTGCTTCTGATGCAGCCCGGGATACAATTCACTTTCTGGGCTGTGAGAGTACCTTGCCAGCTCATGTCCAGCCTCCCAGCCACCAGCACCCCCAAGTCCTTCTGGTCAGGGCTGCTCTCGTTCTGTTCACCCCCAGCCTGAATTGATGGTGGGGGTTGCCCTGACCCAGATGCAACACCTTACACTTGGTGGTGTTGAACCTCATGAGATTCCCATGGGCCTGCTTCTCAAGCTTGTCCAGGTCCCTCTGGATGGCATCCCAGCCTTCAGGTGTGTCACCTGCACCACTCAACTTGGTGTAATCTGCAAATTTTCTGAGGGTGCACTTAATCCCTATGTAATGTGACTTTAAATAATCTTTATATTTGATACTAATGATTAATCTGGTGTATTACTGCTACTGTAGAGTAGGTAAGTGTAAAGAAGGGCAGCCCAGGGGCTACGGAAATATCTGAGAGTTTGGGAAACTCAGGATCCAGTTCTGACACTGTCTCATACAACCCTTTTGATTTCAGTCAAGTTATTTACCCTCTTTGTAACTCAGTCTTCAGTCTGGAAACTGATGATACTGATGCTTCTGTGCTCCACAGGAGTCTTATACTGATAAATACAGTCAAAAATTCTGAGATCTCAGGACGGTATGGTAAGCACCATACAGTCAGACTTCATTTATCTGTGGTTAGATTGTTCAGGCCATGGATGAAAAGTCATCTTGAATCTAATACAATATATTAGCTCAGGCACAGTGCCACATGAATGCAGTTATGCTCTTTCTAGGGCCAGCTCTGCTGTGGAAAGAGTACATCTGCTTTTGTGAGAACCTAGCTGGCTCCATCCCGAGGCAGCTCAGGTATTTCACCACCAGAATTATTGGGGGCGGGGGCTGGAGATGGGGGCGAGGGAGGGAGGGAGGGAGGAAAGAGCAGAAACACCCAGCAGAGCCCTAGGCTGGATCCAGCGGGGTTTCTGAGACTTGGCTCTGCACCACTGTGCCAGACCCACGGTGTCTCCCAGCTTTTGCACCTGCTCCACAGCGCCCAAGGTCCTGTGGGGCTCATTAGCTCAGACACAACGGGTTCAGCACCACAAGCAAGCAGTCACGGTCTGTCGGTACCTGCAATCCCGGGGAACAGGCTGTGCGTGAGGAGCAGAGACATGAATGGCACTGCGGGGTCAGCGTAGTGGATGCTATGAGGGATTAACAGACACTCCTGCATCAAAGATAAATTTATCTGGAACCTCTTGCCTTCTCCCTTGTTTCAACCTCCCTTATCCGTACTATTGGGGTTCCCATTTTACTAGCTCTACAATACCTTTGCCAAGCAGAGAGATGGCTAGAAACCACCATAAATCACTTACTGAAGTCCTCACACTTCTAAGGCATCTTGTCAGGACAATGGAAGTGGTGTTTCAAAGAAGACACTTTGGAACGTGTGAGATCGGATTTTAGGAAGCCAGAAGGAAAGGCGGGGAAAATAAATGAGTCAAGGTCTTGAAATCGGGGTTGAAAGAAATAATTATCAAACACTGCGGGAAGAAAAGCAAAGAAACAGAAAAGAATAGAAAAACAAAAAAACCAAAAAAAACCCAAAAAAAACCCCCAAAGAAAAAAAAAAGGAGAGAAAGAAGAGAGAGAGAAGTGAGGAGGACTAGTTTTCCCAAAGCTGTAAGCAAGGCAGAGAAAGGACGAAGAGGCTTTGCGGGGAGAGGGAGAAGCCCGCCGAGGAAGCGACCCCAGGCACAAGCACCAGCGGCTCCCGGGCCGGGCTGGCGTTCGGGCCCGGCGGGGGAGGGGGCGCGGGCCGGGGCGGGCGGTGCTTGTGCCGGGCGGCGGGAGGGCCGGGGCGGCGGCACCACCCCGGACCGCGGCCCCGCGGATCCCCGCGGAGCCCGCACGGCCCCGCCGCGTTACAGAAGCGGGCGGGGGCCCGGCGCGGACACCGCCCGCATGTGCCCGGCAGCGCCCGCCGAGCCCGCGCCCCGGCCGGCCCGCGTGGGGCTGCCCCGCAGCGCGGGGCCGCGCTCCGCGCCCGGCGGCGGGACGGGGTGGCCGCGGGGCCGCGCCGCGGGAGGTACGGGGGGGCTGGGGGCGGCTTCGCCCCGCCGTGCCCGCGACCTGAGCGCGTGTGGGCGGGGAGCCCCGCGCCGGGATAAATAGCGCTGTCCCCGGGCTGACAGCCCGTCCCGGGGCGCTCGGGGCACGGGCGGCAGCACTCGTCCGCCGGTCGGGGACACACTTGGGGCTGTCGGTGACTCGCTCTGCGGCCCCGCTCCTGCCCCGACCTGGGCTGTGATTTTTTTTTTTTTTTTCCTCTGTTTGTTTCTGGGGAGAGCCGGAGCAGCCAGGAGAGCCTGGGGCCAAGCCTTCTCCCTCTCTCTCTCTGCAGCACAGCGGAGATGCTGGAAGCGGCGGTGAGTTCACAGCGCCCGAGAAGGGCGGCAAGAGGCGTGTAAACTCCTGGGTCCCCTACGGCAGCCGCTGCCCCGCGACCCTCCGCCGGCCCCTCCTCGCCCCGCACGCCGCTGGCCTCGCCGCCCCTCGCCGCCGCCGGAGGAGGCTGCCCACCCCAGCGGCCCAGGATGCAGTTTCGCCTCTTCTCCTTTGCCTTGATCATCCTGAACTGCATGGATTACGGTCACTGCCAGCCCGGCCGCTGGAGACGCAGCAAGAGAGGTGAGTGGCGCCGCCGGCTCGCCCGGGACTTCGGCCGGGGCAGCGGAGGGAGCGCCTGTGGGGCAGATGGGCACTGCCGGGGGGCTGCACTCCCGTCGCTCCCGTCTCTCCCCGCTCCGGGAAGGGCCGCTCCCCGGCAGGTGAGAGTCGCCCCGGCCCCGCCGGCCCGAGGCTCGCACGTGGGGCAGCAGCGGGGGCGAGTCGGGGGGGCGCGGGGCCGAGTCGGCGTGGCGACCCCTCGGCGGGGCTACTCGCCACACTCCTGCTGGGGAGGTCGGGCCGGGAGCGGGAGGAGCGGCGTGAGCTCCGATGGGAAACGACCGGCCCGAGCGAGGGGCTGCCGGGGATGGGGATGTCGAGCGGTTGTCGCACGCCCCGCGGGGCCGGGGTCTCGCTGGGAGCTCCCGCCGCGGGAGGGGCCGCAGGAGCAGGGAACGTCGCTAATGCCGCCGTCGCTCCTCGTCCAGCAGCTCCCAGCGGCCGGGGGCTCGCTGTTTGCCCGCGCAGTTCAGACTCGCGTGTCCACGGGACGGACTTGGAGGCTGCTTTCCGTGGACCATCCCTAGAGCAGCCGCGTTTCCGAGGCAGAAAGGCGGCTTCTCCCCTTTCATCCTTCGGTTCCGCCGTGCCGCTCTCCCGGGGCTCGGCCGGCCGAGCGAACCGCACCTTCCCCAGCGCCCAGGGAATTTCTGTGTCGCTGACTTTCCTGGAACGTCCAGATCCCTCTGAGGAAAAGAGATAAACGGTGCGCTGGGGCTTGATCTGTTTCCCTAAAACGCTGGTGTCGGGGTGCCGGAGCTCAGCAGCCGGAGCGCTGCAATGTGCCAGTACAGCTCCCGTGTGGACAGAGGCGTTACTGCAGCGCTTCCCGGCTGGCAGCCTGGCCGTGGCTTCGTCTGTGTTTTTTTTTTTTTTTTTTAAATAAGATTCACCTTATTAGAAAATGTTTTTATTATCCACATATTCTGAATTATTTTGCTATCCCTTTTCCTGTTGTTTTCTCGGCCATTTCCAAAGTTAGCTGAAAATCAGTTGGCTCAAGCTGCTGAGAAATCTGTATTTCTGAAAGAATTGCACTTTTAGCGGTATTATTTGGAAGGGGAGGAACTTAAGATCTCCAGTGTTAAACCGTTACAAATAATAATAAAACTGTGAGAAGAAAATAGTTGGCACTTTCATGCATATATTGCCTTCAGAGTAGATACAAATAAAGTGGTAAAGCAATTTAGTTTTGATGGTTTTTCAACAGATGGTTTCCAGAATTTAATTTCTGTGTGTGTGGCTAAAACGATAGTAGTCTTTTAAAGTGACCAGACTATCTGTGCTAACAAAGGGTATACTGTGTCTTTAATTAAATGTGGAACTACTTAGAGTGCTGGCTAGACAGTGGAGTGTGATAGTGGTATTTCTGCTTTACAACAGAGCTTAAGGACTGCATTGTGGGAGTACTGAAATGAATAGACATCTAACTCGAATTGTGTGAATTGTCCTTCTACAAAAACTTAAGCTGGTTTTAATTGATCTCATGTTCACTGATTGATCTTAGACCAATTGTTGTGCTTGTTGAACAGTTGGCTTTTCCAAAGGAGATTGATTTAAATTAGTTTTTAGTTTAATTATTGGATAAATACCATCAATATTGACAGTTGACTTACTGGCACTGTTTTGTGTGATCACCTAAGGGTTTTGTTTTGAGCTTTGAAGAATGCAGTCTTTTTCAGTTAGTAAGTCTAAAGAAGTAAGCATAGCCAGTTCTAAGCCCTGAAAGCAAAATCTAAGAATGTATTCAAATTATAATAGACATTTGCCATGACACATGCAGTCTGAAGTAATGCTTTCATACAGGACCCAAAATTCCAATAATTTCACAATTTTTCCATATCCCATCTGCAAATAATCAGGCAGTCACTGTGGGGTACTGGCAGTTAAAATTTCTCTGGCATACTCTTTTGTCTGTTACATGATCTCAGATGCTCCATAATATCGTTTTCTTAATGAAATACAATTTTTGGCATAGATGAAGTCTCCTGTGTGGTAGGAATCAATTGCATTCAGTCTGGAATTATGGGCAAATATCATGTGTAGCTGATTTTTTTAAAGAGCTAAATGTACAATAAACTTTAAGTATATACGCCCGTACTGGCGTTTGTGTTGATTTGTAGCTGGTATAGAACAGTCTAGTAAAGAACAGTTTAGTAAATTTGAGGGATATTCCCAGAATTCTTCATTCCCCTTCTGCTTGCAACCCTTTCTGAAACCAAGACTTACAACATTGCATTAGAAGCGGCATGAAAAATTAGGGTTTAGAATGTGGTTCCTACTAACATGTGTTAGTCAATGTTATTTCATTAAAAGTTTTTGGATAAATGCGTAATAATTAACAGGTTCTGCTAACTCCACTTAGTTACTTTTACTAACTCTCTTAGTTACTTTTGCAGCTCATTGGAATTTTGCTTTGCCTGGTTGCTCAGAACAGAGCCTTACTTTCCTTAAAACACCCCAGCAAATTCTCCCTTTGGAAGTTTCTGCCCTGAGCAGGTAATTATGGCCTATTTGCCTTTCCTGAGGAAGATTTTTTTTTAAAACCTGTTTAAGGGTTACCTAGCTTAAAGGTCAGTGGTGTAATCTCACAGCTGGTTTAGCCTAATCTTTCTCTTTCTTGTTGAATTGTATAACTTGATTTTTTTGTCTCTCTTGGATACCTACTTGCTTTGCTTGGTCATTACAAGGAAAATTTATTTCTTCAGATTTCTCTTTAGCAGTTGGTATACGATGGGCAACTTCATGTCTTAGCATTTCAGTGAATGTCACAGGGTGCATGAAAAACGAGATGAAAGATCTCTTGTCTGAGACATAATGAAAACAACTTTTCCAAAGAGAATAACAAATCAAGGTTGGGGTACATAGAAATGAAGACTGCCAGGATGACTTCCTGCAAGAAGCGATGGTATTCTGCAACAGGCACTGACAGAAGAGAATATAGGGATCATTGTAAACAGCCATAAAAGATAGATGCTAACAAAATTCCCCAAGGAAAAAAAAGTGAATGTAACAGCAGTACCTGTATTGATGGGAAGACTAAAGAGTAGCACAGAGAGGCTCTCTCAAGTTGTTGGTGAGACCAACACTGGAATAATGGGAGATGTGAATGGGACACATTCACATGGGAAACTGGAAGTTGCCTGTATCCAAAAACTCAAAGAAAACCTGTGGCTGTCAAATACTTGTCATTCTGTTTAGTTTGAATTCATGGAGTGTCATAAGGACTAAGATGAAAACTCATCTCCTGGATGCTCACACTGTATTAGAGGTACATAAAGGGGTAATATCTCTGGCATTTAGTGACTACTAATGACAGTGGTGATGGCAAAATACCCACAGGTGGAAATAGGAGACCCTGGGGAAGGAAATGCTGCAAGTGTTTCTCAGATCTCGTTATAGCTTTGTGTAAAGTGTTTACAGGAGAATATACATATGTGGAGGGGCACAGTCACTGGGATCAAAAATATGTCAATTAAATCTTTATCATCTTAATGTAAGATGGGAATCTTTACCACAAACCTGTTATTAATATAGGAAGCTGTTACATGGATTTTCATCTAAAAGAAAAACCTGTTTGGATGTTGGTGATTGTGATTTAGCTTCCCTAAAAAGGTACTTACCTGAGACTGGAATAATCTTGGAGCCTGTCTCAGCTGGATTGTGTGGTCAGGCTTTGGGAAAGATAGATGATTTGAGCATTAGGGAAAAAGAACCTGTGTTGGAAATGCTTGAGTGAAATAAATACCACATATACTTTTACTGGAACTATACTTGCTCCCAAAGAGCTATTTATCTCAAAAAAAAAAAAAAAAAAAAAAATCTTTTAGTTGTCCAACAGTATCCAAATATTTTAGCAATATTTTTAGCAATTCATCCTCCTCTCTTTGAGCTTTAAACATGTCTTACATTTGGAGGACAGTTAACTTTTTGTCTGTGGGTTAAGGCTTAGAATCTTATGTGGAAGCTGTACTTGGAGATGTTTTTTCCTCAGGTGTTACATTGAATGCTTGTAACAAAACTTGTAAAAGAATTGAGACATGTTAGTACTTTAAGGGGTAATTTTCAAGGTTCTTGTGATCACTAGAAAAGCTTTGGAGGGTAGCTTCTATTCCTTCCTCAGATCCTTACTTGAGATAGTTAATTATTAAACATTCTTTATACATACATCATTACTACAGCAATAAGAATATTCTAATACTGTAATCACTGAAAAGTCAAAATTTTTAAACTTTTGGCTACTTATACTGTATTTACTGTGTATGAAGAAGTTTCTTAAACTGCCAGAAGTCAGAATTTCTATGTGAGTGACTGAATACTGGACTAGCTAATGATGGAGCATTACTGAGGATAACCAATGTTCAAGTGAATCGTGAAGTTTTGCAGAAGAGATGCTCCGAACACCTAGAGCAGGATTCACCGTTGAAACAGACACCTAAGTTTGGGTATTTGATTCAGCTTCACAGTGTAGGTTTGTAGTGCTGCTTATGATATTTAAGCTATACTTCTGGGCTTGGTATGTTCTCCAACCCAGTTAATTCTATGATCTTCTTGAGTAACCAGAGGCCAGGCAGGCCTGGCAACCCTGGAGCAAGTCTTATACATCTGACACCTTTAGGTGTCTCAAGGCCTGTTATTTGGAAACTGGAAATGGGGAGCATGTGCTTGCACAGTGTTGTGTGTTTGTTTTCCCTTGCCTGTATCAATCCCTTTAGCTTCTGCTATAGGTCACTTGGGGTTAGGATGGTGGACTAGGTGGATGTGCCTGGTCAGACCTTGAAGTGTATGTTTATGTACTTTTGTATTAAAACCTGTGGTAAGATTTACACTGTGATGAGGAACTCATATTTGTGTGCTTGATAAACTTGGCTTGATTTTACAGTTTCCCATTTTTGGGGAAGGAGGGTACAGTTTCCAAGGCTGGGCTGAAAACTGTCACTAAAGTAGCTCGAAATGCATGA